ATCCGCCACGTCATATCGTCATAGAAAATTTCCAGCCTATTTGACAATTTATGGCGGAGGCCTATGTGGACTTTTGATAGGCTGTAATGATGATGATGATGAGTCTACGCATTATTGCCACATTAAAATTAAAAAATTTGCAGCCTAAATCTCATCATCGTCATTACTGGGCACAGCCCGCTGACAATTTTTGGTCAAAAAGGTTTTCGCTGCGCTGACCTCAACACGGAATGATCTCAATTGGGGAACCAGATATGCAGGTTTACTCGCAATGTTTTCCTCACCTTCGAGAACGTAGTAAATCAGCACTTCAAATTGCAAATTAAATGCCTTTTAACACGGGACACGTGATAAGTCAGCACGTATTTCCTATAACAGATTCATTTGTCCTCGAAGGACGTGTACGATCGTTTTGCTTCCGTGCCATGATGAAATCACACACGGCTCTCGTACTTGTTAAAATAAAAATCATGAAAACTGACACAAAGCTTTTGTGCGTGATTGGTGACATCTATCTAATAATTAGACATCCAACGATGCCACGAACTATTTCATCAGAGTTAAAAATCTCACAGTGCACTTAATTTTTAATTATTTACGTCAGACAACTTGATAACAAATGAAGTTGGTGAAATTAAAGCTATACTGATAGACACCAATATATTCAACTAAAGAGCTTCTATCGTAATCACAGTTTTATGTGCACAGTATTAAATATAACAGTGTCGTTAGTCATTTTGCCAAACGTAGTAATTACGGTAAATTATTCCGATAATGGCGACCGGTCTTGGAACCTATTTAAAGTTTTGATGCTAAACGAACAAGTATTCAGTAGCCTCTATTATTTAATTTTATCAGTGACTTATCATATGATTATTTAGCAGTAAGTAGACGGTGCTATTATTGGATAAAATAATAAAAGCCAAAATTATGCTATCTAGTAATAACAGCGATAGTAGATTATAGTGCGACTGGAAAGCCACGAACATTTATTTGTTGTATAAATAAGGCATAAAGTTGCGTTTATTCTGCTGAAAACTTTGTTTGTGTTAAAAACATACTATCAGAAAAATTATTTAACGTATGACCATAATATCATGAAATAGCAATGTCGTTTAGTTATTTGAGTTTAGGTAATATCGTCATACAATTTTTATTAATTGATTCGGAGAAGCTATATTATGACATCATGGTCAACAAATAATGTTAAATTACTAATAGTATTTCATGAAATGACAGAATACTTTAAGATATGATAAATCTACGACCTAGTCACGACAAATTTATAAAAATCGCTTTGTTCAAACTATAATGAAATAAGAATTTTGAAATAATTGCAAAATGCAGGCAGACAAATTTAAATCAGTTTACCTATACATACATTAGTTATTGAACTAAAAACTATATCCATTTTCATATTTTTCATAAACATCACTGTAATATCTATTTAAATTATTACACTTTTAAAATGAAAGAACGAAAAAGCTAAAAAATAAAAGTTCGGATTTTTAGGTAATTTTATAAATCTCATTATTTTAACATGTAAATGTAATTATGTTTTATATTATTAATTGACGGCAAAATGTAGGTACTTTTTCTATTTGGTAATAGATAGTGGTGTTGTGAAAATTCAAATGTGATCTACATTCGTAGTATTCGGCGTAGTTTCAAATTATTAGACAAAAGTTAAAACTCATTTGAAACTTTATTTATAAATATGGTATTAATTTAAAAAAAAAAACAGCCATCCTGCATACTTGTAACTAACAGAATCATATGTAATAGAAAATTAACATCTAAGGGAAGGAAAATACTTAACCTTCTTTTATGAAGTTCCGTAATCGGGTAAAAACGAGCCTATAATTTATACCTACATAGATGATATCGGTCCAGTTGCGGTCCGGTTGCGTGAATCTTGAATACACAGATAGACAGACAGACAAAAATTTTAAAAACACTAATTTGCTTCCTACCTTTCACTTACCTATTACTTATCGTACCTTTTACATAGTCCCCTGGACTTGTTTTTTCAAGAATATATTAGAATTACAGACACGACTTTTCTACAGATTTATTATATGTATAGATAATAAAATGTAGTGAATCTTGAAAACTTAGAACAATTAATAAATTAATAAATACAATACAATACTCTTTATTGCACACAAAATAATACAAAGAACAACAAACTTAAATTAATAAATTTATGTACAATTAGGTGGCTTTATCGCTAAACAGCGATCTCTTCCAGGCAAACCTTGGTGAAGGAGATCTTTTACATATAAAAATATAGAAGTGTGCATAAATAGTAGATAAAAAATTATACATGACACATAACACACACATATATATATATATATATATATATATATATATATATAACCATACACATATATACATATTTATACATATACATATTAATAAATATTTTATAACACATTATAGCTATATACATACCATATATACACAAACCTTATCAAGTATAGTAGATATGAGAATGAAATATATTAAGTAGAACACATATTTACATAATAGTTTTTAACCAGTATTTTGAAAGACTCAATGCTTTAGGCTTTCTTAATTGTTAAAGGAAGCGAGTTCCATAATTTAATTGCTTTGACACAAAAGGAGGAATTAAAAAAATTTGAGTTGTGAGCAGGCATTCGCAAAATAAATTTATCGGATAATCTGGAATAATCTTTATCTGCACCCGCAAACTCAAATTTTTCATAATAAAATTATTTATTATGAAAAATTTGACTTTGCGGTTTATACATTACTAAAATTATGTAAACAAGATGATGGTCCCACGGGCGTGTAAAATTTACCTTACGCGGCGCTCCCCGCACCACATATGAAAACTGTATGTTTTCCTGCTTCTCTGACAATATTCCTTTGACTGTCTTACGTAAAACATGTCATTTATTTAAATTCCCTTAAGCAAAAACATATCTCATGGTGACCCTGCCAGATTTATTAGTTTGCTATCAATCAAACCAATACGAAATTGGTGCTGCCAAAATAACCGAAAAAACAATGGGGAAAATTTATTCCAAAGATCTAATCGTCATCGCTCAAAATGCGGATGGAACAGCTTCAGCAACTATAGAAGTAGCAAAGTCTGAACACTCAAACAAGCCCGCTAGCATTTAAATTCAAGATGAGTGGAGTCCAGGGACAATTGGTGAGGTACCCAGACATCCCGGCTACGTCGCTGTTGCCATCAACCATCACTACTTCTGTAAAATGTCCATAAAGTTCGTGTTTGTAATAATGCATTGCTTATTACGACCCATTATGTGCCCCGAAATTGAGTTAATGCGTTCTAAGAGTAGCATATGTACCAATTACGTAAGTCAATACTTTTTTTTTTCAAATTAAGTTTTCCTCTTACATTTTCTAACGTAGTATGTAGATTTAGTATAATTTTGTTTCATTACATGTGTTATGTCCTTATTTGATTTAAACGAATTGTATGGCAAAAAAATATTAAGAAATATTTGGTGAAAATAGGACCAAGTGACAAGTGGGAACTAAGACCGTGGGGAAAGTTACCCAGCGCTAAAAAAAATTTATTCCGTATTAGAAGTTGTTGAATTGTTCAGAGAATATTTTATCTTTAATTAGAAAGAAGGTAGAGAATTCCGAAATAAATGGCGAAAGTTTTCAACACTTATTTAAATACCTATATACAAGACATGCATATATCAAAGAATTTTTATTTACTTTCTAATGTAACATCAAATACGACATCCGATCCCGATTCAAACTCAGAATCAGACAAATCTGTAATCGTGAGAGTTATTAAGATAACTTCGACATGAAAACGACTTTAGGTCTGTTGCCTATAATGAAAAACAAGGAAGAGACTACAGACTACTCTCCAATCAATAGAGAACATTTAAATACACTTAATGGTGTAGGCAATAAAATATTAATAAACTTTGTCCTAAAAATTAGGTTTTCCCAAAACGCTAACGATTACGATTTGAAATGATTACACTTCTGTTGAATATCTCATTTCATAAATGCGTGAAAATCTCTTAAAAAAAATAATCGGCCGTAACAATACAGATACAGTCGCAATTATTTATCGCCAAACAAGGGCGTAGGAGTACGGAAAAATTCGGCTCCGATTTAGAGGAGGTTTTTGTGATCTTTACTATATAAGTCGATAGCGACGCGGAAAACTACGATACATTACGCACAATCAACGAAAAGACTGTAATCGAGCGTTTCGCCGAAGGTCTGTCCGATACGCGGTTAAACACGATCAAAGCTTCCCGTGCATTTAATTCCCTTCCGGAATCTTCTGCCTGGTCGGTCGGGGCCAGTATTTGCTGCAATATTCTTGATGTTTCGGTGGGAAAGGCGAGGTCGGTCGGGGCCAGTATTTGCTGCAATATTCTGGATGTTTCGGTGGGAAAGGCCTATATAAAGTCGTTGTAAGCCGCGATCGGGGCAGTATTGAATTGGCGATACAAGCGAAGGTTCGGAGAGAAATGAAGTGTAACTAGTGATCACTGTGATTAATTATTAGTTTTAATTGGTGTTCGGCAATTAAAGTGTCAATTTTGGTATTTCAATCGGCAGTTTTTACTCGTACTATCACGAACCTTAAGCTCGTAACAATTGGTAAGAAGTGGGATCAAATCATGGCGATTTTACCGCGCGATTGGAGCGCGTTGGATCGTGCGGTGTGGACCAGGCTAATGGTTAAGTTAACTTGGCGCTACTCGCTACGGGTAAATTTTACCAAAGGCCGCATATTTTGTTGCATATTTTTTGTTCCACCAATCACAGCCGGCCGCCCTTCTCAGTACCTTCTGGGTGTAAATGTGACTACGCACCCCCGGCCCCGCACTGAGTTGGCGCTGCGCACTCGAGATAACGGAAGTCTAAAGTAAGTAAGTACGGGTGATTTTCACCCCTAGCGATCATTAGTGTTACAAATTTTTTTTGTTTTGTCCATTTAATTTCTTGTGTTTTTAGGTATCAAAATGGCGCGCAAAATTGTAGCAATTGAAGATATAGAGGAGTATTTACATATGGAAGATAGTAGCTGCCTAGAGTTGGAAGATATTGAAGAATTTAGCGAACATGACACGGATTCTGAACAAAATGGCGAGGATTTTGAATTACCAGCTGATAACGCAATCATTGATCAAACATCATCAGCCGAAACCATACCTAGAAAACATCCCGATGAGTACATTTTGTGTAGTGGCTACTATTTGGTAAAGGATGGTGCAACTAAATGGAAGGTCTCTGCGGTCTCACAACATTGTTCTGGAAACACCTGGGCCAAAGGGTGATGCTAGGCAATGCCAAGATATCGCTGAAGCGTGGAATTTACTATTACCCACTGATAACTTACAGTTGATTGTTGACTGCACTAACCACTATATTGATAAACGTAAAGAAAGGTATCAAGGAAACAGAGATTGTTAGTACAATGACGTCACTGAAATTGAAGCATTGTTCGGATTGTTGTACTACACAGGGCGACTGCGAGGTGCGCATTTGAACACCGAAGACATTTAGGCTACAGATGGTACAGGGTTTGATGTTTGTTTGCCTACTATGTATCGATCTCGATTTCATTTTCTGCTTTCCTTTTGTTTAGGATTCGACAACATTGACACCCGCACGATAGACCACGATGCCAATATTGATGAGATTCCTGGAAAGCAGAAAAACCCGAGATGATTATTGATTACAATGCGAACAAATGTGGTGTCGATATTGTTGATGAGAAGTGTGGCACCTATTTGGTCTCACGCATAACAAGAAGATGGCCTCTGGTGGTAGTATTTTATGGACTATTGAATATAGGTGACATCAATTCCTATGTGATCGTAAAAGAAAACGTCCTAACCCTAAACCAGAGTCCTAAACCAAGACGGCTCTATATCAAAGATTTGGCAATGGATTTTGGCTCATCAAGCCACATGTAAGTAGACGGCAAGCCATAACAAATCTACCTATTTACCTGAAAGAAAAGATCAGATTCATACTTCGCGAATATAACACAGAAGAGGAACAATTAAGTAATCTATCCACAACATCAACATAGAGAAAAAGATGCGCCACATCTCGATGTCAAGTTTGCCCTCTTAAAAAGGATCGCAAGACCAACTCTTGCTGTCAAATGTGTAATAAAATGTTGTGTCGCGAGCATGGTTTGTGGTGATTTAATTTAAAAAAATTATAAATAAGTACAAAAAACAAAGTTCGTAATTATAGAAGGCTGATTAGTGCCATTATTCTTAGATTTTATATTACTATTATTTGCGTTGATTTATAAAAAAAACTTTGTTTTTAGTTTGTATTTTCTGGTACTGTGATTACTAATACAAATGAAAAGAAAAATAATAATAATACAAATTAAGTTTTTATGAAGAAAAAAAACCTGTTTTTAGTTATTACCAAAAGTTAATCGTATTGTTAGGTAAGATTTGAAATTGTGATTCTAGTAAAATAACGCAAATTAAAAACTTTGTATTATTTTAATCATTACTTGGCACTCATTGGGTAAAACCCATATAATGAAAGAATTGCCAACTAATATTTAACAATAGACTAAGATTTATATTTGGGTATTTTTCGCTCATTGCGACATCTGTGTAGCTAAAGGGGGTGCGAGTACTGCCGAGTTAAAAATATCAAAGTCGAAAATATCTTTCTAGGTTCGAGAACTTTTGTCGGCTGATAGCTTCACACTAGTTAAACATAAAAGGAATGTTATTGTCATCCCTAAAACGTAGTGATTATTCTATGCTCTTGGGTTTTCCACAAAGAATTAGGCGGAATAACCGATACAGCAATATAAATTTTACTTTGTATTTTTTTTTAATTTGTTAATCGTAAAAACATTGTGATGTATAGCTAAAATATCAATCAAATCCAAAATTTAAGTTGCACAATTTTAACCCGTGTAGTGGCGGTATCAGAATATCCACTATACCATAGCATCCCATAAAACCAAACAAATCAGGAGATGGGTAGCAGAGTCTTCCTAAAAACGACTAAAATTAAACTCTGCCTCTGTTTCCCATAGTCGCCTCTTACTATACCTTCAGGTGTGATGGTGCACGTAGAGAAGTGATGGATTAATTTACGCCGCTACTATACAGCAAACGAACTAACCATTTTGCCACCATAAACAGGTTACAGAGGCAATATAACCAGCTCTGCAAGACATGTGCCGTTGATATTTTTGCTCATAAGCCTCGAAAATTCGAGCGAAAAATTATGCAGTCCTTTACTGTTAACTAACATTTAGACCAAGTTCTAAGTTTGTAGTTGTAAGTTTTAAGAAACATATTCGTTGTCCACATTGCATGCCGTGGCAACCTTTAATTAAGACGACACTTACATATAAACCTTCCTGTAATTTGTAGTATTAATTGTGTTCGTGTACGTCTTGTTGGTTGTCCCAAATAAATGAAAAATAATGATAGAAAAAGTAATAATATGGTACTATTTCTATTGTAAGGCTAAGTTGCGTGAGGTGATTAAGTGATCTTCGTTAAAAATTCTTCAATCGCATCGTAATTCAGAGTTTGTGTTAGTATTATTGTTAAATTCGTGGTTATTAAGATAAATAACAGTTTTAACGTTTCTGATAATAGCAGTTTTAACTTTATTGAATAATAATTTATTATAGAGCATTGGTGCACAAAACTTGTAGGTAGCTTCTTCTTGCAAAAACAGTTCTGACCCTCGGTACGGGGTAATCTTGTTACTCGTTCATTACTTTTAGGAAGACAACGCACAGAATGGTGGCGATATCTACGAAGATACTGGTATACAAATAATTTGCGTACTGACAACATACCGCACCGCTTGTATAGGTCATGAATGTGGGGTATTTAAAAGGCAACCGCATCATAACTTTTAGGACGGCGTGTTGCGCACGCATTAGTAGTATGAGGTGTGTCTTTGCTGCGCACCCCCGACGCAAATACAATATGAAATAATGCTCTCACACAGGGACCCATAAGTTAGCAAAAGAACATCATAACCAGACATATCACGTAAATTTTTAAATATGTAAACTAGTCTCCTTGTTTTACTCGATAGAGCAGTTACTTGTGGGACCCAGCTAAGACCTTCATCAACAATAACACCCAAATACTTTATGCTTACCACACGTGACAAATAATCACGATTACACGAGGCAGGTACCCGCAGTAGCCCGTTAAATGAGTGAGTATGGATTTGAATATGGAAATTACCGCCAGGTGGAAAACAGATTGATATGCTAAAACAAACATACTTTGTTTTACAGTATTCAGTGCGAGCAGACTGTCAAAGCCAAGTCGTTAGTTTTTATCCCTTGTTCAGCGAGACTCCTAACATTACTCCGCAATGTGCCGTGAAACAAATATACTGTGTCATCTGCAAACATCACGATGTCGACACCCTTTAACTGCAACTTACATAGGTCATTTATATAGGCGAGAAAAAGAGTCGGGCCAAGCGTACTGCCTTGAGGCGCACCGAAATGTCAGACAACGCTGTTGCTTAAATATTCCTTGATCCTGACTACTTGTGGCCTGTTTCTTAAGTAGGACCTGAACCATTGCAGTGTCACACCTCTAATACCCAGGTTTTCTAGCCTTGTCAATAGCATAGGGATCGACACCGTGTCAAATGCCTTTGAAGATCTAGAAAGACGGATACACTTTTCATTTTTGTCTAGTAAGAGCTCACTAAGAACGTGAGGTAAAGGACAGCATCCTCAGTGAATTTTTCATTCTAAATCCGTATTGGTTAGGACTTAACAGGTCAAATTTCTCGAAATAACTAACCAGTTTCCTGTTAACATTTTTTTCTACGACTTTAGAGAGATTTGGCAACAGTGAAATAGGTCTGTAATTCGATGATAGATTTTTTTGACCATCTTTATATCTATAAATCACCTATCTAGGTGTAACTAAAGCCTTTTTGACGATATCTGGGAAGACATCAGTTTTTATGCTAAGGTTTATTAGATAAGATACAGGTTTAACAAGATAAGATAAACTTTTTAAATTTTGTGAAAGAAAATAGCGTTTTTTTTTAATTCATTGAATTTACGTTCTATAAGTGAAACCAAACCACTGGTTTCAAGGACAACGGTGTTTGCACTAACATCCTGTATATAAACTACGTGTCAAGTTGTTTGTCCGCGATGGACTCCTAAACTACTTAACCGATTTTAGTCAAATTTGCGTACCGTAAGCAGTTTGGTCCAACTTGAGAGATAGGACAGTTTTTATGCCCATGAGTGACCCATAAGTTTTTTTGCGAATTTAAGGATATTTAATAGGACATGACAAAGGGTCGTCGAAAAGGGCAGAACAACGTCTGCCTAGTAAGCTAGTTGTATTTTAAAAATTTGTATTTAGATTAAAAATTGTTTGTTAGCTTTATATAAAATTTTTATTATGTGATTATAATTAAATTTGTGATTGTCGATTGTAATAATTTTTTTCCTTATTTATTTTATTTCTTCTTTCTATAGTTATGACATTTTAATTGAACACGATTACGTAAAATAAAGATCTCTAATAAAAAAAATTATTCTTACCAACCTTTATCTCCTCTTTCAGGACACGAATCAGAGCTTTGCAAACTTCGTAAACAATTATAGAAATTGACTGATGTGAAATTTTAAAAAGGTATTGTAGACTCACCTGTAGCCAAAAATCTTAACGTCAATGCTAATCTCACTTTCGAAGATATAGCCATTCTGAATTTTGTGTCTAATTTTGAAATAAAAGGCGAATTTTTTTGTAATAGTATTTCAAAGCCTTGGCAGGATATTCTACAAAAATTACTGAAGTAACCCACTGGTCGGGGCATCATCTCTTCAAGCAATTTTTTCGTGGTAGCTCTGAAACAAGTAAATATAAGTAATTCCATTAAGAACCTTGCGTCAAGTTAGCCGCTCGAATATTCATCAAATCTTAATATATATATATAAATTACGTGTCACGTTGTTTGTCCGCGATGGACTCCTAAACTACTTAACCGATTTTAATCAAATTTGCACACCGTATGCAGTTTGGTCCAACTTGAGAGATAGGATGGTTTTTTTGTCCATGAGTGACCCACAATTTTTTTGCGAATTTTAGGATTTTTAATGGGACATGACAAAAGTTGTCCAAAAGGGCAGAACAACGTCTGCCTGGCAAGCTAGTATAACTTAAATTACATACCTTGTTCTATTACGAAACATTTGACACATCCACTCGCGCCTTCTTCTCAGACGTTTCCTTAAATTTTGTTGCAAATGTAATAAATAATTAATTGCGCATAAATAGTA